TCGTAGCTCTAGAAGTTGTCTGAAATTTTGGCATATAAGGTTGACTTCATAACTAATTTAAAAATGGCAGTGTAGGAATAAAATATAACATGATCGACTTATATATCAAGCAAAATCTCTCTACAAAATTGTATAATGATAGGTTCATAAATGACCCAACCCCCATATATAAGGTCCCATTCAGGAAATGATGTCAACACTCATATCTTGCATAAAAATGCTAGTATAACGATAAAATTTAACATAATCATGTTTCAAATTAACCAAAAACTATCAACCAAATTCTATGAGGAAATTCTTTGAGGAAGATTACTTAAATGCCATTATAGCACTGAAATATGACAAAATTTAGTTTTATATCAACCGAAATCTCTCTAATAAGCTCTATGAGCAGTGTGACCAGGTCTCAAAAAATGTTGCGGCTAAATCCCATTCAAAATAATGCTAGAAAAAATACTAAATTGATTTTAAAATGCCAAAAAAAATGCTAAAATTTTTTAAGTGTTTTTATGAACAATTCATATTAATTTGTAACTGAAATTCATTGTAATTTATATCAAGTAAGAAAGCATATTCTGCCGTGGTTGACCATATGAGTATAAAATTTGATTTATTTTTCGTAATAAAGCATTTATGTTGAATTCAACCTTGGTTCCGATATATTTAAACTAATTTTCTGAGAAAGGCTTTATACATTTGTATATGTATGGGGGCTAGGTAAAATAAAGGACGGACTTTAACCATTTTTCAAAGGTTTTGTCATTGGATCAAAAAGCATACGTGCTTATTGTTTTGAAAATTTCAACCTCTACCAGACGGTCAGACTTACATGGCTTAATCGATTCAGAAAATGATTCTTAACCGATTAGTATACCCAAACGTAGTATAGTGGAGTAGGGTAAAAAATTAAGTTCCGTGGTATTAAGATAAACAGAAATGCTAAAAATTATTTCAAAATTTTTGTAAATTTAGCAATATGTAATGTCTCTAACTTTAAAATATTTCTGAATGCAAAAATTACATTAAAACTCTATTAATTACACTAGTTGCTCATGGTATAAAACCTATATGTGTTTTCGGAAGGAAAAGTATAATATTTCTAGTTTTACTTTTTTTATATAAACAATTTTATTTGTCTTCCTCAAAACACTTTAAAAATGGTTTCATGTCAAATATTGAAAATTCCGTTGAAATAATTTTAAATCTCGGTGAATAGATGTCAGGTTTATAACTCATACTTCCAAGATTTTTTCGGAAAAATATATATGAGAATGTATGAAATGAATTGAGAGATATATTCAAATCCGTAAGTTTGTAATTCTGGAATAAATTGTCAATAATATTTTCGAAATTTATGTATTTTTTTTAATTAAAAAAAAAACGTGAGAACAAAATTACTAACAATTTGGTAAAAATAAAAAGAACAGAAAGTAGGATGAGAAAGTCTTAATTATATATTATTGATTTTTTTTCAATAAAAAACCTCTTTATTTCGTATAGGAAAAAAATTTGTTAATTAACCGTCATACATAGCCTTTTCCAAAATTATATGTTTCATTCCATGAGCAAACAAAAAGTATTAGTTTGTAAAATAGCGTACTGAACGTATTTGTAAAAAATATATGAAATCTCTTGAATTATTTCTATCACCTCGAATTTAAAAAAGCATTGGGTTCCAGAAAAATATTTTAGAATACAACATTTTAAAGTATTCACTTGTATTGGCGTAATTTTATGTTATTTATCTTCATGAATCTTTTTGCATTATTTTGAATTACAGTGTAAATTATTACATTTCTCATATTTCTTGTTGCTTGTGTTTGGGTAGACATTTAATTCTGATTTTTTCCGGTTAAACCTATTTCTAATATAAATCTTTTTTGCAAAAATTTGTCTTTTTTTGTTTATATACTATAAATGCAAAAAAAAGCTAAAAATGCTAAAAATATTTTATAAAAATGCTAAATAAAATGCCAAATGCTAAATTAAAATTTTACAGCTAAATCAAAATAAAAAATGCTAAATCTAGCTGCAAAAATGCCAAAATGGTCACACTGTCTATGAGGAATGGGACATGATTGACCCTGCCCTCCATATAAGGTCTCCTTCTAAAAATTATTTTAAAGTTCTTTACGGACTTAATAATTTTTATATATATATAACAAGTAAGAGTGCTATATTCGGCTGTGCCGAATCTTATATACCCTTCACCACAGTGTATTTAAAAAAATTAAATTCTATAAAATTTTAATTTATTTCATTTTCCCGTTTATATCATTATTATGGCAATAGCAAAACGAACAACAACAACGCTAAACGAAATAAACACACACAAAAACAAAATACACAAGGCAGTAAAACCAACAGCCATCCAAACATACGAAACGAAATACACAAAAAAACAAAAACAAAATACACAACGCAATGAAACCAACAGACATCCAAACATACGAAACTGAATACACCAAGAAACAAAAACAATATACACAAGGCAATGAAACATACGAAACGAAAAACTCATAAAAAAGCAAAAACAAAATACTCAACGCAATCAAACCAACAGACATCCAAACGAACGAACAAAAACAATATACACAAGGCAATGAAACACACAGCCATCCAAACATATGAAACGAATACTTAATGAATAAGCAGTGTTTTTGTTGTTGCTTATATCAAAGCATGAAAAAAATAGTCTTTTTTATGAAATTTTCAGAGGTTGTCTCGGATTTTTGCTCATATCTCCGGTATTTATGGGCCGATTTTGCTGATTTTAAATAGCGATCTTCTCGAAAGCATGTCTAACAGAATTATTGAAGATTCGGATCTCGCCGATATCTGGGGTCCTCTAAAAACTGATTTCAACAAACACACAGACGGACATAGCTTAATCAACTCCGCTACCTATAAGGATCCAGAATATATATACTTTATGGGTAAATTATAGAAATTACAAACGGAATGACAAACTTATATATACCCTTCTCACGAAGGTGAAGGGTATAAAAATGAATGTGTGTTTGTTTGTATGTTTGAACGTTATATGTAGTCTACTAAAAGGCTGAACCGATATTTTCAAAATTTTCGCAGCGTATTCCTGTATGGCTACTAGGCTACTTTTTATTTTGAAATTTCAAGTGGTCGAGGAGCCACGCCCATATTAAAAAAATATAAAATCCGTGTATTTGAGATAATATAGCATAGAGTCCTCAAATTTTGTCGGAGCCACTTTATTGTCAATATGATTATTTAGGACAAAAAGTGGGAGGACTAGCATTAGGGGCGTGGCGCCTCCCATATAAATTAAATACACAAAATCGTTTATCTTGGAAACTATTACAGTTAGAATCTTAATATTTTGCAAGAATAACTTTAACATCCATGTAAACATTTTTGGTAATAAATTAGCGGATTACCCATGAGGGGAGCGGCACCTCCCATATTAATTAAATACAAAAATTCGATCAGCTGGGAAACTAATGGAACTAAATTCTTCAAATTTTGCAAATTTTGCAAAAATTTAAATATTCATCTGAACATTTTGGAGGAACAAGAGCGGACTTACATCTGGGGAGCTTGGTGCCCCCATATTAATAAAATAGAAAAATTCGTATATCTGAGAAACTATTAGAGCTAGTATCTTCAAATTTTACTTGCAGAACTTCGACATTCATCTGAACATTTAGAGTATAACGGGCGGACTATCAATTAGGGACTTGGCATCTCCCATATGAATTAGAACTAGATTCTTCAAATTTTACAGAAATTACTATAATATTTTTCTGAACATTTTGGAGGAAGAGAAGAATACAAAATTTCGTATATCTTGAAAACTGTTAGATTATTAAAATTTTTATAGATAGATAGAAATTGGCGAACTTGAAATAATTTGCTTGGCATCTCTCATATGTAACATATTGTAAATCTGGAAAACTATTGTAGTTAGAATCTTCAAAACCGTTAAGTTGGTTTTTTATTTATATTACTTTTAGGGTAGCAAAGCACACTGGGTATGGCTAGTTCCATAATAAAACAAGTTTTTCGAGAAAGAAACTATGTATATTATGAGGATCGCTCCGCCAATATTCAAATGTTGAGCATCATGATAGAATTAAAAATAAATTACTTCTTTTAATTATGGAGACCTTGGTCCATAATTGAACCAATCCAACATTGAAGGCCCTATTCCGAAAATCACCCTAACGTTCATTAGATTAATTGTCAAAGTCCATATATAGACCAACTTCCCAAATTGACTTTTTTCATAATATATAATTTGATGACGAGTATATAAGATAATATAAAACTTTTTCGTCTTAATTATTTTAATTATATTGAAATTACCGCTAAAATATCTTTTTAATTACACTACCATTACCGCTATGAAAATATTCCAAAATACCGACAACGCTAAAATGCCAATACCGAAATGTGTCAAAATACCGATACCGCTACCTTATTACCGTTTCGAAACTGTTGCCAACCTTGGTATTTTGTAAGAAAAACACTAATTATGTCTGTTTTTCGCCTTTTTTACCCCTTCTGGTCCTTCTTGTGTAAAATAATATAGCCTCTTGACGGTCCAGCCGTTTTGGCGTGATTGACGTACATACAAATAAATAAATAAACTTACAAAGATATTTATAATATATGTATGTATATTAATATACCGGGACCAAGGCCGGATTAAGGGGCTGCATGACCAAAATTGCCTCTACCTATAACATAACTGGAAACCACCGGCAGATACATTGAAGTTGGTGGCTCCATAAGTTCAACGATATTTTATTTTGAGAGGGCCTCGAGGCTATTGGAACAAATACGAATTTTGATGCTAAAGAAGGATATTTAACTTTATAAATTTAATTATTTAAGAAAAATAAAAATTTAATACACGAATTAATATCATAAGGTAATTAAAAAATTTGGTAGATTCAAAATTTTTCAATAAAATTATGAAAATTTAATATTTAATTTTTTTTATAAAATTTTACACTTACCGCTGTTAAAATTTGATAAACTGATTGCAATCACCATTGTAGTTCTCAAGATGTTATTTAGTATTTTATTTAAGTTATACGGTTCACGCAAACACATATTGAATTCATTTATTAACATTCAATGGTTACGTTATAGATGCATATGCACGATTTTGAATTTATGTTCGAGTACATTGTCAAGTTACATTTAATTTTTATATTTATTTGACCAGAAATATGTATATTATATAATGAAGTTTTAGAATCACTTGCTTGTATGTGTCCTTTTGTTATCTATCTATCTATATATCTATATATATAAAAATGAATGTGTGTTTGTATGTTTGTTTGGACTGAAATTTCCACAGTGTCTTCCTGTTTCTCTTTGGAATTTCAAGTAGGCGAAGTGCAACGCCCACATACAAAGTTAGTCTTAAAAGTTGCATATCTCAGAAACTGCAACAGCTAGCGCCCTAAAATTTTTTACGAACAACTTTGACATCCATAATAACATTCGTTTACAAAATGGGCGGAATGGCTATAGTGGGCGTGGCAACTTACATATTAAGAAAATATTAAATCACTATATCTGAGAAAATATAACAGTTAGTCCTCAAATTTTGTCGGAGCCACTTTAGTGTCAATATGGTTATTTAGGAAAAAAAGTGGGCGGACTAGCATTAGGGGGCATGGCACCTCCCATATAAATTAAATTCGTTTATCTTGGAAATTATTAGGGTTAGAATCTTATCTGGGAAATTAATAGAAATAGATTCTTAAAATTTTTCACGTAGAACATTAATATTCATCTAAACATTTTGGGGAAAAAAGGGCGGACTTTCATTAGATTATTCACATTTTTCATAGGTTACATTAAAATCTTAATTAACGTGTGGAAAAATTGGCGAAACTATTATAGTTAGAATCTTCAAAATCGTTATGTGGGTTTTTTATTTATATTGCTTTTAGGGTAGCAAAGCACACTGGGTATAGCTAGTAGAATATAATTATAAATATATATGTATGTAATAACTTTTGATTATATTTTTTAAAAACGCAAAATTTAGGAATTTAAAATTTAAGAAGAGTGTTATTTTTCGTCTATAACTCTTGTAAATTTAAAGCGAATTTCGGAAAACAGGTCTATATATTTTGTTTCTGTTACTTTGATTTACTTATTTATGCTAAATTGTATTGTCTTTCACTTTTTAATTTCACGGTGTCCTGGGAATTCTCGCATAGAACAAATTATAAAAATTTAAGAATATAAACCTTTATTTTTTGCAATCTATATCTATATACATACATACAACTTAGACATCCACAAGAATATTTGGTGACCAAATGGGCGGAATGGCTATCAGTATATCTGAGAAAATATAGCAGTTAGAGTCCACAAATATTGTTGGAGGCACTTTAGTGTCAATATGATTATTTAGGACAAAAAGTGGGCGGACTAGCAGCAAAAGGCGTGTCACCTCCCATAAGAATAAAATACAAAAATTCGTTTATCTTTGAAACTATTCGAGTTATAATCTTCAAATTTTGCACGAAGAACTTTAACTTCCATGTAATAAATTGGCGGACTACCAATGGGGGGAGCAACACCTCCCATATGAATTAAATACAAAAATTCATTTATCTGGGAAACTTATAGAAGTAGATTCTTCAAATTTTGCACGAAGAACTTTAATATTCATCTGAACATTTTGAGGAAAAGGCGGACTTTCATGGGTGGGCTTGGAACCCCCATATGAATTAATTAGAAAAATTCGTAGTTGTGAGAAACTATTAGAGCTAGGATCTTCAAATTTTACATGAAGAATGACATTCATGTGAACATTTAGAGAAAAATGGACGAACTTTCAATGGGGGGATTGGCACCTTCCATATGAATTAAAACGTCTAAATTATTTCAATTTCAAAATTCCCGGGACGAAAATGAAGGCTCCACTTTGATGCACTTCGCAGCTTCTCTAATTCACATAAGTGAATTAGTCAGTTCCATTGTTAGTATGGAGAAAATTTCGTGGACGGTGTCATCCTTCAACCCTATAAATATCCAGGCCAGAAGGCATATTCCCAGCACTACTCCAAAAATTGATCACCACCATCATGCCATGGCTATCTATAATATTTAGGAGCAGCCTTGAAACGGGATACATTCCTAAAGTATGGAGAGAGGTTACAGTGGTATTTATCACCAAAGCAGGAAAAGTGAACAATAGTACCGCCAAAGACTATAGACCGATCAGTCTGTCATCGTTTTTATTGAAAACATTGGAAAGATTGGTCAACATCTATATCATTGAGGTATTCAGAATGGATGGTACCATTCTGAATACCTCAAGCGAAGCCAAATATCTTGGCGTAATTTTAGACTCTAAGCTCACGTGGAAAAGTACGTGCCTTCTACATATGTAAGAAAACATTTGGGAAAAGATGGGGTCGTAAACCATACATTGTGTACTGGATGTACACCGTGGTCATAAGACCTATTTTGACCTATGGAGTTCTTGTTTGGTGGAGAGCGGTGGATATTAAAACTTACCTCTCTATTCTAAACAAGGTACAAAGATTAGCATGTTTTACAACCACCGGCTGTTTGAGCTCCACCACTCAGGCGAGTCTAGAGACGATGCTAAATATAACTCCCCGGTACGGGACGACGTGATCTCAATCTATACTGATGGCTGAAAGAAAAAAGGGTCACGGGATCGGGAATCTTCTCCGAAAAACTAAATCTTCTACTGTCTCTACGACTACCTGCGCGGTCCTTTAGGCCGAGATATATGCCATCTATACAGCCGCGAGAATAATCCGGGAACTAAATCTCAAAAATTCGACTATATATATTTACTTATACAGCCTTGCATGAACTAAGGCTTTTAAATCCAATGTTATTAAGTCGAAATGTGTATGGGTTCCAGGACATGCAAAAGGATATACACACTCCCCTGACCACCCGGAATTCAGGTGGTCAAATACCTGTAGAGTATCGAGACTGCTCTGGCCAACTCTGAAAATGAGCGGACTTTCATTAGGGGTCACAGTGCCACATTTAGCAAATTCTGGTACGACAAAAGTCTAAGTTTAGAAGTATGGACTTCATATTAAGTATAAAAGAACATTTTAATAACATACCGAAGTCCCCGGTTCGTATTCTAAAGAGCCAGATTTTTATTATTAAAAAATAAAGCGAACGTGGAAGTTCTTGCCTAAAATGACCGTGTTAAAATAATGACTTAAAATGCTAATGAAGAAGTAGTGAAAAGAGGTTTTACTAGCACTTTAACTCATTACTCTTCAATGTAAGTTTTTCCTAGGAAGGACACGCTTATTTTTTATTTAGAAAACTAGTTATACCCAGTGTGCTTTGCTACCCTAAAAGTAATATAAATAAAAAACCCACTTAACTATTATGAAGATTCTAACTATAATAATTTTCCGATTTTCAATATGTTACATATGAGAGATGCCAAGCAAATTATTTCAAGTTCGCCAATTTCTATCTATCTATGAAAAATTTTAATAATCTAACAGTTTTGAAAGTCTGCCCGTTATTCTCTAAATGTTCAGTTGGATGTCAAAGTTCTTCAAGTAAAATTTTAAGATTCTAGCTCTAATAGTTTCTCATATATACGAATTTTTCTATTTTATTCATATGGGGGCTTCAAACCCATATGAAAGTCCGCTCTTTCCTCCAAAATGTTCAGAAAAATATTATAGTAATTTGTGTAAAATTTTAAGAATCTAGTTCTATTAGTTTCCCAGATAAACGAAATTTTGTATTTTACATATGAGAGATGCCAAGTCCCCATTGAAAGTCCGTCCGTTATACTCTAAATGTTCAGATGAATGTCAAAGTTCTTCAAGTAAAATTAGAAGATTCTAGCTCTAATATACAGATATACGAATTTTTTATTTTATTTTATATACTCCAAGCCCACCAAATGCAAGTCCGCTCTTGATCCTCCAAAATGTTCAGATGGATGTTAAAGTTATTCGTGCAAAATTTTAAGATTCCAATTGTAATAGTTTCCATGATAAACGATTTTGTGTATTTAATTTATATGGGATGTGCCACGCCCACTAATGCTAGTTCGCCCACTTTTTGTCCTAAATAGTCATATTGGCACTAAAGTGTTTCCGACAAAATTTGAGGACTCTAACTGTTATATTATCTCAAATATACGGAATATATATTTTCTTAATATGGGCGTGGCTCCTCGCCCACTTGAAAATTTCAAAATAAAAGTAGCCTATTACCTATTCCAGACATACAGGATTACGAAAATTTCATGAAAATCGCTTCAGCCTTTTAGTAGTATATAACGTTCAAACATACAAACAAACACACATAAATTTTTATATATATAAATTTATGCATGTAAGTGAAAAAATTCGAGTTAATTTTACGAATTATTTTTAAATGTTTTAAAATTTATACCATAATTTAATTTAATTTTTATGATAACTTTGCTATTATTTTGTTTGTTTATTTAGTAAAACCGTTTAATGTACATAAATGTTTAAAACTTTAATGATAATAGTTGATTATTTTATTTTGAAATATTAAAAATATTTTAGTTATATTTGTTAAGATAAATGCTGAATTTAGTAAACCTTTGCTTTAAACTGTGATCAAAAGAGAATTTTCAAATCACGTATGTAAATCAAACCCCGCAGATAGAGTGGGCGTGGTAATGATATTACCGCTCACAATTTTTGTGGGGTTATAACTAAGTTTGTGTCAAGTATGTGCATTCGATTTAAGATAATATCTTAAAAGATATTTAACCTATAAAGTCTGAAAATGTCCCTTTTAGGCGATTGTAACTATAAAATTATCGAGATTGCAAAAACTAGCTTTTAAAATACATACTACAGATATTAGCGAATGCACCTTATATAGTCCAACGACCACATCGGACCAATTTCAAAAGATGCGTTCCATTAAAAATTAAATTTTTGTTTACTTTAAGGATATATTAGTAGTGTCATAAAAATATAAGAAAACAAGTAAAAATTCTATATTCGACTTTGCCGAATCTTATACACCCTTCACCATAGTATGTTATTAAGCAATAGCAAAACAAAAGAAACAACAACAAAGCTAAACGAAATAAAACACACAAAAAAACAAAAACAAAATACACAACTCAATGAAACCAACAGCCATCCAAACATACGAAACAAAATACACAGCGCAATGAAACCCACAGACATCCAAACATACATATTTTTCCCAACAATTGGTTATTTATGGACGGATTTTGCTGATTTTAAATAGGAAACTTCTCGAAAGCA